TTACTAGTGTTCCTTCATATGGTCTAACGTCCTTATGCCTAATCCTTACTTTATGAAGAATAGTTTTTTGACGTTAGTATATAGGTGAAGTGAAGCCACGATCCTTTCAAAGGGTTTCATGATGCCAGTGCAGGGTTTCTTGATGCCAGTGAAGTGTTCCTGATTCAAGGAATTGGAGCTAACCTACCCTTCCTTTAATGGTCCACCAACATTAGATAGGCTTTAAAGCTAACACATTAATCGGCACCAGTGCTGGTACCACCACCATGATACATTATTCTTGGCAGGAAATTCCGGACACTGTTGTTACTTTCCCTCGTGTCTATGTTGTGACGCACCTCAGAGGAGAGAGAACTGCAGTTCTGATGACACCAACACCTTCAAGCTCTCCTAGCTAATGAACACTTGTGTTATCCTAATCGTGTTACTTACCCATCCTGCGTGACAGTGTGACAAGAAAACAGATTCTGTTCCCATTATGTAACCAACATACATCTTGAATAAGGTAGCACCACATTACAGATTTATGAAATTTTGATTAAATAAATACAGATGTGATGCATACCAAATGTGGGAAGACATAGGAAATACAACACGAAAATTTCCTGGCAAAATGTAGGCCTACTGTAGTGCTAGTTTTACTGAATTCGGCACCAAAAAATTTCAGTGATACAAGAATTTTTAATAGAAAACAGATAATTAAGGCAACTTACTGATAAATTTCTTCCTCAGTTCATGAACGGTAGGTCTAAGAGCAGTGTTGGGAGAATCCAGATCCTGGTAGCCAGCAACCTGGAAGATCCACCCCACCAGCTTCCTCACTTCGTCCAGACACAACAAAAACATAATTCCCAAACACAAACATTCAACTACTCCTAACAAACCATATTTTCTCATAGAAAAATAAAATATAAATGCACATATGCCGATGAATTTCAAGAAATGCCTTCAGGCATGGGCAGTCTCGCTCCACACACGACGTAAACACTACCTAGCTAGCTGAGACACTGCATTGTGTGGAGAGACAGCTTGCATGCTCGCTAAAACCCACCGCTAAAAATGACACCATGGATCGTGTATCAACCACATTAACCATGAAAATCTCCAAATGTATGCATGAACGCCAGCACCGCTCTACAAAATTCAATTGAGGCATTACAAGCCACGAATTTAAAATCCTGAAGGTAACTAAAAATATCCAGCGAGTTTCACAGAAAGAATTGTATGAAGAAGCGTTAATAAATATTGCAGTGTTCTCTTCTCATTACTGTCAAGGAAGTAGAGAAATGAAGTCAATCTACAGTATTTTAGGGACAAGATTTTGTTCCTCAATCATTGCTGTACAAGAGATAAGATTAAGTCCCTTAGGTACAGCAAAGGAAAAAAGATATGCAACCTTTGACGCAGCACTGGACATGAGAACGTGCCCTAAACACTGTATCAAGAGGACATGACACATATCTATGGTGCATCCAACAAAATAAGCAAAAACTTGGATGTCACTGCCGCCCGGCTCCGGCTGGGCTGCAAGTATCTTTGGGAGATTAAATCGCCATCACCAGATGTAGACCAAACGAAATGAAAACTTTGCCAGATGGACAATTGTCACACCCTGCGTCACTGTATACTGGAATGCGATCAAATTAATGAATTCAGAGACAGTAAATATAAATATTGCCCATGACATCGAAAACCCACATTTTTCGAGCCGTGTTTAGAGTAACAAGTGGCGCCTTGAGATAATGTAACTTTCTGTGCTCTGTCCCTGATGACAAAACCTGACTACGTCTCTCAACAAGGAAACTGGTTTCTACTATGTAACTAGTAAAATGGAAAGAGGAAAGTGACTGGGTCACCCATGCCACCTGTCATGTAGTAACTGAACGTACATGGAAGTTATCACTCCTCATAAATTACTTCCGTGCTTTGTGATGTAGACAGTGACAGTCAGCACCGTCCACCCCACACACCGCCCACCCCAGGACACACCGCCCACCCCAGGACACACCGCCCACCCCAGGACACACCGCCCACCCCAGGACACACCGCCCACCCCGGGCACACCGCCCACCCCAGGACACAACCACCTCACTACAATAATAACTGAAAACGGGTGACGAAATTCCTACATTACCTTAGTTATAACAGTTTACCAGTTTGTTCCCAGAAAAAAAAATCATTAAAATTAAACCTGAGATGAGAGATTGCAGTAGTAACTACACCAATTCTTCCTCTCATAGTTGGTTAGTTTATTAAGTTTGAAGACCATCTACTACACGATGGCCATGGCTGCATGCCACTTGCCAACTTCTCTCAATGTTACACTGAGCATATACTGTATACACTGAGGATATACACCTGTGTGTATCCTCAGTGCATGTCTACCTACCTGGAGGGTATTCCGGGGAACAACGCCTCCGCGGCCCGGTCCACGACCAGTCCACCCGGTGGATCAGGGCCTGATCAATCAGGCTGTTACTGCTGGCAGCACGTGGTCCAACGCACGAACAACAGCCCGGCTGATCCGGCACCGACTTCCATCTTCCTCTTGAAGGCAGCCAGAGGCCTACTGGTAATTCCTCTTACGGCTGGTGGGAGGCCTCGGACACTTATGGTGTTTTCTCTTAGTGTACCAATGGCACTCCTACTTTTCATTGGGTTATTTTGCACCACCTGCCCAGTCTTTTGCTTTCGTAGGAAGCGATTTCTGTGTGCAGATTCGGGACTATTCTTTCTAGGATTTTCCAAGTGTACATTATATTCATCTCTCTCTCGTCTGCGTTCCAGCAAGTACAAGTCAAGTGCTTCCAAGCGTTCCCAGTAGTTGAGGTGTTTGATGGAACTTACATGTGCAGTAAAGGTTCTCTGTACACTCTCTAGATCGGCAGTTTCACCTGCTTTGAACGGAAATGTGAATGTACAGCAGTATTCCAGCCTAGAGAGAACAAGCGATTTGAAAAGAATCATCACTGGTTTGGCATCCCTTGTTTTGAACGTTGTCAATATCCATCCTACCATTTTCTTTGCAGTGATCCTTGAAAGTGAGATCCTCAGACATTACCACTCCTAGATCCCTCACATTATTTTCTATTTTATAATCAGAGTTTGTAGTATACTCAGTTCTAATTATTATCTCCAGTTTTCCATAACAGAAATTGGAATTTGTCCTTATTGAACATCATATTGTTTTCAGTTGCCCATTGGAAAATTTGGATTATATCTTCTTGGAGGTGGACCGTGTTCTCTATACACGACAGTCTCATGCAGATCCTAGTATCGTCTGCAGAGGTTGACACTGTGCTGTGGATTACGTATCTATGTCTGATATGAGGATGAGGAACAGGTTGAGGGCGAGTACTGTACGTTGTGGAAGAGCTTTTCACTATGGCAGCTTCCGTTTACCACTACTTTGTGTTCGATTGGTTAGAAAGTTGAAGATCTATCTACCCACTTTGCCAGTTATTCCTTTGGCTGAATGCATGGGCTTTCTCAATATCTATCGGAGTTTGGGTAATGTCGGAAATCTGGCGTACATTGATGGAGTTTTGAGGCTCATTCAAGAAAATGTAATTTGGATTGTTGATCTTTAGACTGATTAGTGGCTCGTTAAACACAGAGTCGTATTGGGATTTCAGTATCTCTCATTTCTTTGTTATCTGTGCAAGTCCCATCTTGTCTGAACAAGGGCCCGATGCTAGATGTGGTATTTGCTTTTTTTTGGCATATGAAAAGAAACATTTCGAATTTCTTTCAATTTCACTAATCGCTTTTAGCGCCTCCTGTCTCTCTTGGGTTCCGTATGAGTCCTTTAACATAAGTTCGATACTTTCCACTTCCCTGGTCAGCGCTTCCGTGTATCAGTCTAGCGAAGTTCAGTGATTCTTCATCGTTTTCTGTAGAGGGAGCGTCTCTCTTTCTCCAAATTACTTTTCTTCTTTGGGGAATATACCTTTAACATACTTCAGCTGCCAGGAAGTTGATCCTTTCACATCACGAGGTATAAATTTTCCTTAAACCATACGCAAAACTAAAGTTGACCTTCCATAACTAACGGCCGTTTTATGCGATTCGTTTTATATTAATATAACATTAGGTTTTTACACACTTTCCCACGACACCAACATTTACAGTTCGTCCAGTTACCACGGGGATTATTATTTGATGGCATAGAAACTCAATTATACTAACAAATTATAAGGAACAGCGTCAACAGTGCTTTCCAGAGCTCAAACGGATACTATCATATATATATATATATATATATAATATATATATATATATATATATATATATATTATATATATATATATATATATATATATATATATATATATTATGTATATAATAGCTTCAAAGTCCCTTATTTTTCATTTCAGTTCTTTTACAAGTCATTGTATACAAAGAATTAATTATCTTTGTCTGAATATTAAAAACTGTAGTCATTATGGAAATAAGTCACACTGCTTAGCTTTTAGTTGTCCCGGATTAACCCTCATGGGTTTACTGGAGAACTGATTTTTTTTTTCTATACACAAATAACATTCTGTGATGACAATCTATGACGGAAACAGTTCTATTTACAAAGCATTTTGAAACAATCTAGGATGTCCAAGTAAACTCGAAAGGATTAAAGTCCAGTAAGATCTCCAACCCTCTGTCAACATTCATAATGTTGACCCTCATACAGTGAGGGTCTTGGTTCGATTCCCGGCGAAGGAAAGGGGAAGGGGGAAACATTGGACGTGTTTCCTTACACCGGTTGTCTATGTTCACCCATCAGTAAAATGGGTACTTGGGTGTTAGTCGACTGGTGTGGGTCGCATCCTGAGACAAAACTGACCTAATTTGCCCGAAATGCTCTGCATAACAAGTGGCTTTCTATACAGTATTGTCACTGATGTCAGCTAGTCCTGTATACCTTGTACATGTACTTGCAGAAATAAAGATATTACTGACGCCGGCTTTCCACCCAATAAGAAATTTTATTAGTGTGTACTCACCAGAGATGCAGTTTTCTGACAAAGCTCTGTTCTTGGCTGCAGTGTTGTTAAGCCGGGCACCAGAGGGCTTAGCAGGTTGCAGCTCTACCTTACGATGACGGGACACCCTGAAGGCGCTGCTCCCTCCGCCCCGCCCTGCCGACGCCGCTGACGCCTGAGGCATATCCTCGTCGGCGTAGTCGTCCTCGTCGTATTCGTCGTCGAAGTCCTCAAGATCTAACTCGAGGTCATCGGCAGAATACGACCTGGGCTTTCCCTCAGGGGACCAAGTGTCCCCCGGGTCATCCTGTTCTTCAAGGGCGTCCCCAAGGGACTGTGTCTTGAGCCTCGAGGAATAAGGTTCTAGATTGAGGCAGATGAAGGAGCCACCAGACTCCTCACTAGCACTGGTTGCTACTGAGAAGCGGCAAGACCGCTCTCCAGTCTGCTCCTCAAACACACTGTGATTGCTCTCGGAAACACTGAAGTCAATATCTACACCATCTGGACTAAGCACATCACTCGACACTGAACCGACGCTATCATTCTGGACCACAGCGGCCTCCCTGACACACTGCACTTGTTGACTGGAGGACAAGACCGGCGTGTGAACGTGTTTTAAGTCCTGCTGACTGGTCTCAACTCGCGTGTGTGTTGTTATTTCTACCTGAGTGAGGGAAGGACGGGGGGGTGTTGCCTTCGGCGCTCTCCCTCCATGTTCCCAGGACTCCTCTACCGTTTTCTCTTTGTCCTCACCACTTACCGTTTTCTTCAATAATTCTACACTAGTTCCTGCTCTTAATACCGGTGGAGTTTTCTTTGAGAAATCGTCGAGTATACTTGATGTGGAGTCGACTGATTCTGCCACAGTGGGAGGTTTAGAGGAGGCAGTGGAAGTATCGCTGGAGCTGTAGTGGCCTGACATAATGGCATCAATAGGTAAATCCAGCGCCTCTGTGAACAAGGGCGTGGTGGCCCCGTCAGCTGGGGTGAGAGCATCGTGTAGACTGTTGGGTCCGCCCCCGCTCCGAGCCTCTGTGAAGACAGATTCTGAACTAGAGGAGGAGTCCACGAAGGCTACCGCTGCTTCTCCTAAAGCCTCACCTGCTACAAGTGTTTGTGGTTTCCTCGCCTCCTTCCACGAGTCTGTGACAATGAAGGTGGGGCGCTCGCATACTACCGGGACTGGACGTGGGACGCTAGACTCTGTGGAAATTCCTACAGTGGCTGCTGCAATGGCTGACGGCGGCGAGCTGATGGGGGAGGCACAAACTGATACTCTGTCACCCTCATCTAGGGTATCTCTGCTCCCTTGAAGTTTTGTTTTCGAAGGAGACTTGCCCCGGGCGACCTTTCCTTTTCCTTTGCCCTTCTGCTTATCGCCCTTCCCTCCCTTTTTACCCTCGGCGCCCTGTATGTTCCCCATGTCGTAGAAAGCCTCGAAGATGTCACTATCGTCAGTATCGAACTCGAGGGGAATAACAGACTCAAGGTCAGTATAAAACTTATGGGAATTGTGGTTGATGTCGCCCTCGGAGGAGAGTAGTAACTCGTAAACACTGTCTTCCTCAGACCTCCAGCACTCTCGCGTCCTCAGCAACTGTGTAGGGTCACAACGTTCCTCGTGAAGCTCACTCAGGTCACTCAATATATACAATGGCGCAGAGTTCCTACGGGCGAGATCGCCGAAGGGATCGACATGGAGGGTGGTGTCGCAGGGGGAGTGGCTGACAGGAGAGACGAAGGGCCGCGCTGAGACTAACCTGTGGGAAGCAGATATGACTTAGTGGATGTTAGGCTTATTAAGAGGATGAGGGTGTGGGAGAGGGGGAGGGGAAGTCTTAAAAGCTTGGCGGGAGAGATTGATAAACGAGGGAGACGAGTAGTGATTTCACGAAGTTTAAAACATAAAACCTTAATTTACCTGTACACCTTCAAGAATACTTCAATGCCTGGAATATGGATCAAAATAATAACCTCCCGGTGTGTGTGTGCGTGTGTGTGTGTATAGTTACTAGCTGTCAAAGGCACTTTTCGATAAACACTTGTCTGCTGGGTGTGTGTACTCACCTCACCTAGTACTCACCTAGTTGAGATTGCAGGGGTCGAGTCCTAGCTCCTGGCCCCGCCTCTTCACTGGTCGCTACTAGGTCACTCTCCCTGAACCGTGTGTGTGTGTGTGTGTGTGTGTGTGTGTGTGTGTGTGTGTGTGTGTGTGTGTGTGTGTGTGGTGTGTGTGTGTGTGTGTGTGTGTTTGAAGAAGTCTATTCACAGCTCCTGGCTTCATGTGTGGGGGTGGGGGCAGGGGAAGGCTATTCAGCACAAGGGGACTGCTGAAGCAAGTCGAGCACCCAGGTGGCGCGCGCGCGCACACGCACACACGCACACACGCACACACGCACGCACACACGCACACACACACACACGTTATGAAGGTTTATAACAGAGGTAGGGCAGCAATGATAAGGAATAAATTAGAGCGCACTATCGTGGATATAACACTTGTAATGCGTAGGGTAAATTAAAACTCACCGAAGACAAAACAATAAAATTTAAGTTCTACCACAGGTTGATAACGTTCAGAAACTGATGTTGTGCAATACGAAAAACAAGGAACGTTGTAAAATAAGAATGAATTGATAATTAACTAACAGATAAAACCACTGGTTAATCAGAGAGAAACTCAGCACGTCTCGGGAGAGGTAGATGCCGGCAAGAATCTTACCTCATGTATAGTCACGAACTACTCTCTATGTGATAATGATTCGGGAAGACTTTAAATAAACGCAGGTTATCTGGCCTGAGGTCGCATGCTCATGTACACACCTCTGGCTCACACTTCAACAACAGAAAGGGCAGACTTAAAGCAGCAGCTCATCAGAAAATACTAAAAAGAGGCAGGAGGAAGAGGTAATAATATTTGATATTTTCAGAAATTTTTTACCGTATAGATCACTCAGCGCTCATAGCAATTTAAAAAAAATAGTCATCTGGGTCAAGATAATAATTATTCATTCCAAAATCATTTTGATACTCAAGTACCCTAATGTATGAGCGAAAACTTGACAAAGTTAGATACATTTTATAAAACTTATGACTCAACAGACCATGAATGAGATTTTTCCCTCCAAGAGACTTCCGAGATCAGGGAAAAAGTCCTTGATTTCCAGGTTAAAGCATTATGGTATTGTTCTGGGAGACGAAAGATATCACAATTAGTATATATAAGGTCAGTCTTGTATACATTTTAAGGTCATTCTTGTAAACATTTTAAAGTCATTGTATACATTTTAAGGACTTGTGTAAATCATATATACCTTACGAAAACTTATTTTTTGGGGGTAACCTGAAAATCTGCTTTTACGAAGCATTCGTGAGAAAAGAGTTAATGCAGAAAATGGTGTTGCTTACATGTAACTAATTTACAGTTAGAGAAAATTTTACTTTGTAGCTCCTTCAAATGTATAATTATATACAACTCTGAACTCAAATTAAATTGTAATAAACAACTGTCAATGAATAAACAGAAGGGTGGACGAGGGGGACTCGAACCGCGGTCCGTAAATTGAGCCGAGACGGAATAGGGTCGGACCGAGGTTCGGGCCCTTCGTCCACCCTTCTGTTTATTTACATACAACTAACTTCAGTGATGCAGCACTAAACATTGTACACACATGACTGATATCTTTCTCAATTTAGAGTATGCAAAAATTCTTCATAATTGTGGAAAACACTGTATATATTTTCCAGAAATACGGTAATTTATAGGTAAATAGATGGCCTATACTGTATTTAATAATATTTGTCATAGAAAACGGAAAGCCTGTGCCTGGGCAGAGAGGTGACTCGCCATCTTGGTTTTGAATTTTGTACAAACGTTGGTGTAATGGGAAGAATTTTTCGTGCTCTAGAGGTTAAAATTGTGCTCACACCTCTCAAATAGGAGGCGAAATTGGTGGATGTGCATTCCTGCATAACTTGAGATATCAGACGACTGGACAAGACAGCTCCAGGAACCTCAGATAAGCTCTCTAGATTTTTGTGTAATTCTGGCCAGCATTATTTTCATAGATTTAGTTAGAGTGAGGTTTTCTGAGTATGATACACATTAATCTCCAGTCAAATTGGCGAGTGATATAAAGATATATTTTCCTTCTGTTATGTAATTGTGTGTATATTATATATATATATATATATATATATATAATATATATATATATATATATATATATATATATTAACCATTTATTAATATTTTAATATACAGTCCACAAATTTATATATTTACCAGTATTCCTGGTGTATGTATATTTCATTTAATTAATAGGTCCAGAGCAACTTGTGGTTATGACAGTGGTAGGTATCGAAGGGGGACATTTTTTGCGACCTAGGTGTCCCAAATTCCTACTTGTCTATGTAACATTGATAAATAATAATCTTTTTTATCATTTACTGTTATGTACATAATTAGTTACATTCAGATAAATGCAATTTTCCACAATAATTGTTATAAACCTATAACTAAAATAGTGCATTCTTAATTTATGCAAATTATATTATACAATAATATAAAGCTTTTGATCTTTTTGAATAACAGGTTTTCAACATCACAAAGCTACTGCAATTATTCAATATTTAAAATTAAGTAACAAAGTAATCATTAGCTTCACAATCCTCAGTGAATGTGAATATTTTTCCTAGTTATTTTTCTTTCAGTAATGGCTGACTTGATCTAACAAAGTATGGTCATCAGCGCTTGGCCAATCCCATGTTACATAATTTGGGTTAGATGTAAATGAATTCAGATACAGCAACGTGAATTCTACATCTGCAACTTCGGCAGATTTATCTTTTCTAAACACTTTCAATACAGAGGCCTTCCGCTGGCTTGCCAGTCCAATCCTTGAAAATTAAGGTTATAATTATCGCCATGATACAGATAATGGCTGGTCAATTTTGATCAAAAGATCATAATATCACGAGGAAGTGAAAAGCATGTGGGGGGTCATACAGTGCATATGGAATGGGATTTGAACCAAAGTAACGGAGGTTAGCTCCAATCTCAATGATCAAGAACCCCTCATCGACATCGAGAAACCTCCCTTGAAGGATATCAAAGTTTATTAAGTGAGTAGTAACTGATATATACTAAAATTGGAATGTGCGGATGTGGTATGGGATCCACATTTGGAAAAATACGAAAAAAAAAGTTCCTAATAAGCAACAGGGAGAAGTAAGAGGAATATTTGTAAATAATTCTTCGGAAATAGAGGTACATGCCTGAGATGGAGTTTAAGTCAAGAAATTGTGTATGCTAAAACCACTACTAATTTTAAAAACCTATGCTTAATTTATAACAGAAAAAGTGACATCACGAGCATGGGTTATATTCCGAGACTACAAATAGCAGATCATAAAATATTTAAGTGCTGCTAACAGTGGGACGGATGACCATTCACAAGGCGTTAACAGCAATAAATAACAAAAAAAGGCACAGTAACATGACTGGAACAATACCCAAATAACCCGTACATAAGAACGGAGCTTACGACTACGTTTCAGTCCGCCTTGGACCGTTTACAATGTCACACTATAGTAAGGAGAAAAAGAGGCAATATATGTATATATAGGACAGTAGACAGGGACGGGACAAGAGAGGTAGTAGTAATAGTGGAGTCAGTCAAATACTAAGAGCACTACAAGGGAGTTAGGGGCCTACAAAGAACAAAAACACAGAGGGGAAATAAGTAATAATAAATAAAATATACTATATATACTGCCTCCTCTCTTTTCCTGGCCCAAGTCGGACCGAAACGTCGTCGTAAGCTCCCCCTCCTACATGCGGGTTGTGTTTTAAAAAGAGATTATCTGAATGTATTTTAATGTGGCCTTTGTGGATCCCCGTTTTCCGTTTGCACTTCATTTCATTTAGTGATGTTTCGTTATATTTTTTACTAATACCTAATATAACCTGCGATGACCAAACCTAACAGAGCCTAACCTAAATAAACTGACAAATTTGCTGAAGACAGTATGTGAGATATAGAATAAAAAACTGGTTGTAAATTGGTTAGTTACAATTTACACGAAATGACCCTTCGTTACTTGGAAGGTAGGGCAAGATTCTTATTAAAAGATGTCAAAACATGCAGCCTGTAAATATATTTATACAAGATGTCTTCATTCAGTAATGACAAGCGTACAATCCACTTTTTTTTTTACTAAACTCCTAGACTGGTGAATGCGAGATTATCGATACATAGCCGTGAGATGTTTGTCTACAACAGATACTGCCTTGGAAGCAGAAGCAAAAATGTCCACCCCAAACCATAACAGGCACTAAGTAAGATAAAGTGGAAATGTTAAACCCGTAGGGATCATAGTGTCACGGGGAACTAACACAGCAAAACAGATAAAGCTACATCCATACAGACTGAAACGCACAAAGTATGCGCTTCAGGATCAATAAACTACTAGGAGTTGCGTTTGTGAGTAAACACGACACCGTTCAACGTCATTTACTTTTAATGATCCCTTATCAACCAATATTACAGCTAAATATTTCTAATAAATCATTTTTTCTAAGAAGAGATGGTATGACTATTTTTATTTTTTATGTATAAGCTTGTTTCAATGTTATGTTTTATGAAACACTGAATATTATAAACTTGGTTCAGAACCATGTGCAGATCACGGCCAGCGGAAGTAACGTGGGTTTTTCATGCAAGCCTCAATTACTACACCATATATGTTCAACCAACAAAAATAATGTAACAATACATACACCTCTATATAAACCTAGCTCATACTACGATAACCAATTACTGTCACTTTCTATAAACACGTCACACCAGCTACTATGACATCTAGATATAAAAGATAAACATTCTTTTAACACGGTAATAATCTAAGATACCTGGAGTAGTCACTGAAGGAGCCAGACTTCAGACAGCAGGTGGACGAGTGTACAGGCTCTTCATCGGCCTCGTCGACACCTTCGTTACTGTGCTGACGAAGGGCCTCACACACATCACCATTACGAAGTTTATCGTCAGCATCATCACTGAAGTCAATCAGCACCAGCGGGGCAAGATCACGACCCTGTTGCAGTCTATATGGTGTTTGTACCCGAGTACGATACTTGCTGGAACGGTACTGTGAGTAGGTGGGACTAGGTGGGTGTGACCAACTGATGGCACCTCTTTTGACGTCCTGACTCTCCCTGACGCCATCGACAGAGTGATTGTTGCCATTCACATCCTGGGAGACTGAGTCATCGTCCGGTGGTAATATATGCTTTAACTCTATAGACACATCAGGCAGGTTCCTCCTCCAGTAGTTGAAAGCGTTGAAGATGTTTAAGGGTTTGTTACCCTCGTGGTCTCTCTTCACTGCCTCCTCACTACTGTATCCACGCTTATTTTGGATATCTCCCCCTACTAGTTCTTCCCCCGTCACAGCTTTAACATTCTCTCCACTCTTATAGCTCCTGGGCCGAATATTCCCTTCAAAATCGAGAAAATGATCAGTGAGAGTCTTGGTTCCCCTCAGAGCAGGTTTGTTGTCATTGTCTGGTGACGTCACTGAGGGTTCCTGGAGCCCCCTGTTGGCCATCTCCTCAACTTCCTGAAAAGAAAACTATAATGAAAAAATTTTTTTTCTTTGAAGCATATAGTCAGTGTTTAGACGACCATTAACAATTGACCTTTTTTAATCATTTTGAGGATTTGTAGGGATAATCTAGGTTAAATAATCGTGCAATATCACTTCTATATAGTGAATATATGTAATTTTTAATTATTCAACTTTAATATATACAATTTTTTTATATGTATTGTTAGTTTCTCGTGTATACTGTATGCCTTACTTTAAGAAAAACTAATATACATTACTCTGTAAATTCCATATTTGAGGAAATCTGCAGAGATTACTAATTTTTCCGTGATTTAATAAGCTTAGTTATACAAGACAAAGGAAAGTGCAATGAAACACGATATAATAATAAAATTGTAGTAGTAATAGTAGTTGTTACTAGTAGTTAAAAACAGTAGTAAATAGTAGTAGTAGTAGTAGTAAGAACGGTAGTCGAGGGGTGTGTGGTAGTAGGTTGATAAAGTAACTCACTGAGAACAAGGCTGGTGGCAACAAATCAATAGCAGGTCTGCCTGGTGGTGGTGGCGGACATTTCAAATCTTTCTGACTGCTGCTGATCATACCTGAAAAACAACCATACTAACTTAGCAAGCAATATACCTCGTAAATATACCGTGTAGCATTACATCCTGCATCATGATCAACACTAACTTAATGTAATTCTTAAAAAAAAAAAATATCCTGAATACAGTTAGCAGCACACTGAATTGTATCAAATACAATATGGATAAAAATTCCAAAGAATTACTTAGAAAAATTCCTTGTTAATGTAAAAAAAATAAACAAGATTAAACCAAAAGAAAATATGAACGAAGGTTTAATTACTTGCCAAGCAAAAGCTTTAAACAAAATATTTAAATACAAAAGATAATAACTAATAAGTAATTATAAACTCAGTATGGCAGAAGCAATTCGAGAAGAATGGCCTTAGCAGATGTAGTTATGCAAGTTTAAAGCCTGTCTACTGCACGCGGGCCGAGACTTCAATTCATCTTCACTATAATACTGTATTCGCTAAAGTAACTCATTACATTACATCTAAGTTTACACACAAACCTCGACGCATATACAAAGATATTTATATACCTTAGTACAGTATATATTTACATTACACCTAGCAGAATAACATTCACATAACAGGGGCGCAAACAGTCTCGCCCCCTCACACACGCTCCTCCTCACACACCCCACTTCCCCACACCCCACTCTCCCCACACACCCCACTCTCCCCACACACCCCACTCCCCCACACACCCCACTCTCCCCCATGCTTTCATCTTAATGACCTCTGAAGACATTGAATACTCTTTCAAAATGTAATTCAGATCTCTAGATAATACTTTGAATTACGTTACAATTCACTGTCGTTAAATTGCATAACAATATATAACTCGTTTCTCATGGTAGAAGAGTGTATATGCGGATATATACCTCGCCATATATTCCCGTATATTCCCCAAGCAGTTTAATACCTGAAGCTTACTGATGACAGTAGGACTAGCTGTTGGAACTTTGCATACATATGGAGGCGCGGGCACACCTCTTATCAGTTAATATATCACAGCTTGGACACCTCTTAACCAACACGTGAGTATTCCTAGCAGGTCTGGAGTTTGTTAAACACGTGTAAACGTGTAAATTTGAATACAGTGATTGTGTAATAAAATGTGATGCTGATTTTGACCCTTTCGAAAAAATTTCGAGTGAGGGGGGATAAGAACAGCGGCTAAGTGACGCCCGGGAGGGACGCCATATTGAATTTAATGTGCGAGGACTGGACTTAATTATGCAATGTAATTCAGCGTCTCCCGAGGCCAAATTGGGGCGTTTCGGTCTTAATTTGTATCAGGAACCCGTGGTCAGTGGTCAGTCGTCACGTGAGGTCACAGACCCTGAGCTGCTTTGGGGATTAGCGTGGACGGTTACAAAGCATGGCTTGCTTCTGCAGTGTTTTAAAAACTGAGGTTGGAGAGTTGAAGGAGGAGGTCTTGCTTCTCCAGGAGGAGATTAGGAGGCTGAAGGTCCACCTCAATGGGTCTGGGAGAGAGTGTGAGGTGGCTGGAGTTGTGGGGAATGAGACTTCTAGCAGTGAGGTGCAGTCTGTCTCTCGCTGTGAGGAGGCTGTAGTTGGGCAGGTAGCAACGGCTACCAGCAGTGAGGTGCAGCCCAGCACCTGCTACAAGTGGCGAGTTGTTCACAGTAATGGGAGGCGCATCAGAGTAAGGAAAATTAAGAGTGAAGATCTGAAGGTAGGAAATCGCTTCTCTGTTCTCCAGGATGAATGTACTTCAGTGGCCAGTGAAGGTAAGGGTACTACTGCCCCTGCTAATGAAGGTAAGCGCATTCTTGTGGTTGGTGACTCTCAGGTAAGATATAATGACCGTGCTTTTTGTAATAGGAATAAGAAGATGAGAGATAGAGTGTGCTTCCCTGGAGCTGGTGTTGGGGACATTGTCAACAGGCTGGATAATATCATGTCAGGTAATGGGAACAAGCCATTATCTGTCTCAGTGCTGGTGGAAATGATATTGGGAAGGGTAGGAGAGAAGAGCTGCTAGATAAGTACAGGTCAGCTATAGATTTCATTAAGTCTAAGGGAGGGATCCCAATCATATGTAGCATCTTGCCTAGAAGGGGAGTAGGAAATGAATGGTTGTCTAGGGCAATTGGTGTAAATTGCTGGCTAGACAGATACTGCAAGGAACTTGCAATCCATTCATTGACAACTGGAACAACTTTTATGGCAAACATGATATGTATGCAAGGGATGGGGTACATCTCTCTGGGGCAGGGGTGGTAGCACTTGCAGACTCGATTGAGAAGGCCATTGGTGAAATGCCTATGATTTTAAACTGATGGAAGATAGAGGTATGGGTGTGTGTGGGAAACAAGCAGGTTGCAACACTAGGGTTGGAAACAGTAAATGTATAAAAGGCATTCAGCATGAAGTTATAAATAAAGACAATAGAACAGGTCAGCAAACAAAGGGGGACAGCAGAGGGCAGCAAGGGACTAGCTCCCTTAAGGTTTACTATACTAATAGCAGGAGTGTTAGAAATAAGATAGATGAGCTAAGATTAATTGCAAGTGCAGGAAACATAGATATTATTGCTATAACAGAGACCTGGCTCAATCTGAAAGATAGAGAGATGCCCTCTGAATGTCACATACAAGGCTATAAATTATTCCACACTGACAGGGTCAACAGGAAAGGTGGTGGAGTAGCGATGTATGTCAGAGAGACAATTTAAATTGTTGTGTTAGACAAGATATTAAATTAGAAGCGTCAGCCACTGAATCTGTTTGGTTACAGCTTCTCGAGGGCCGAGAAAAAACTAATTTTGGGTGTGATTTTACAGGGCCCCAAATCTTGATAGGGAGTGCAGTAAACTTCTATGGGACGAAATTCGTAAGGCATCTACATACGAAAATGTTGTGCTAATGGGAGATTTCAACTATAGACAGATTGACTGGAGCAATTTGACAGGAAATTTAGAGTCGGGTGACTTTCTTGATACGATCCAAGATTGTTTTTAAAACAGTTTGTGACAGAGCCAACTAGGGGAAATAACCTCCTTGACTTGGTTCTTGCCAGTAGGGAAACACTAATTAATAATCTTGAGGTTAATGATGAACTTGGGGAGAGTGATCACAAATCACTCAGTTTTAATATATCATGGAATTCCCCTAATAATGGCAATCAAGTCTCCGTCCCTGACTTTCGCTTGGCTGATTTCATAGGACTGAAAAATTACTTAGGTGGGCTGAACTGGAATGACCTGACTAAGGGTCAGGTAGGTGGTGATGGTTGCCGATATGATGCTTTCCAGGGCATAGTTCTAGCTGCTCAGTCAAATTATGTTCCAAATAGCGAAATCAGATCAAACAAAAATGATCCTAAATGGATGAACAATAGATTAAAATATCTGATTGGTCAAAAGAGAGGCATATATAGGCAAATCAAAAGAGGAGAGGGGCAATTAAGAAATCGATATATTCAGTTAAAGAGAGAAATAAAAAAGGGAATTAGAAAAGCAAAAAGAGATTATGAGGTTAAAGTTGCAAGAGAAACGAAGACTAACCCAAAAGGATTCTTTCAGGTATACAGAAGTAAGATCAGGGACAAGATAGGCCCACTCAAAAGTTCCTCGGTCAGCTCACTGACAGTGATAAGGAAATGTGTAGAAATTTTTAACACATACTTCCTCTCAGTTTTTACACAGGAGGATACCAGCGATATTCCAGTAATGATAAATTATGTAGAACAGGACGATAATAAACTGTGCACTATTAGGGTCACAAGGGACATGGTCCTTAGGCAAATAGATAAATTAAAACCTAACAAATCCCCAGGCCCTGATGAACTGTATGCAAGGGTTCTAAAGGAATGTAAAGAGGAGCTTAGCACACCTTTGGCTAATCTTTTCAACATATCACTACAAACTGGCATGGTGCCAGATAAGTGGAAAATGGCAAATGTGATACCTATTTTCAAAACAGGTGACAGGTCCTTAGCTTCGAACTATAGACCAATAAGCCTAACCTCCATAGTGGGAAAATTTATGGAATCAATAATTGCCGAGGCAGTTCGTAGCCACCTTGAAAAGCATAAATTAATCAACGAATCTCAGCATGGTTTTACAAAGGGGCATTCCTGCCTTACGAATTTATTAACTTTTTTCACTAAGGTATTTGAGGAGGTAGATCATGGTAATGAATATGATATTGTGTATATGGACTTCAGTAAGGCTTTTGACAGGGCCCCACATCAGAGACTATTGAGGAAAATTAAAGCACATGGAATAGGAGGAGAAATTTTTTCCTGGATAGAGGCATGTTGACAAATAGGCAGCAGAGAGTTTGCATAAATGGGGAGAAATCAGAGTGGGGTAGCGTCACGGAGCGGTGTTCCACAGGGGTCAGTGTTTGGGCCCCCTGCTGTTCACAATCTACATAAACGACATAGATGAGGGCATAAAAAAGCGACATCGGCAAGTTTGCCGATGACACCAAAATAGGCCGTCGAATTCATTCTGACGAGGACATTCGAGCACTCCAGGAAGATTTGAATAGACTGATGCAGTGGTCGGAGAAGTGGCAGATGCAGTTTAATATAGACAAATGCAAAGTTCTAAATGTTGGACAGGACAATAACCATGCCACATATAAACTAAATAATGTAGATCTTAATATTACGGATTGCGAAAAAGATTTAGGAGTTCTGGTTAGCAGTAATCTGAAACCAAGACAACAGTGCATAAGTGTTCGCAATAAAGCTAATAGAATCCTTGGCTTCATATCAAGAAGCATAAATAATAGGAGTCCTCAGGTTGTTCTTCAACTCTATACATCCTTGGTTAGGCCTCATTTAGATTATGCTGCACAGTTTTGGTCACCGTATTACAGAATGGATATAAATTCTCTGGAAAATGTACAAAGGAGGATGACATAAGATGATCCCATGTATCAGAAACCTTCCCTATGGGATAGACTGAGGGCCCTGAAACTGCACTCTCTAGAAAGACGTAGAATTAGGGGGGATATGATTGAGGTGTATAAGTGGAAGACAGGAATAAATAAAGGGGATGTAAATAGTGTGCTGAAAATATCTAGCCTAGACAGGACTCGCAGCAATGGTTTTAAGTTGGAAAAATTCAGATTCAGGAAGGATATAGGAAAGTACTGGTTTGGTAATAGAGTTGTGGATGAGTGGAACAAACTCCCAAGTACCGTTATAGAGGCCAGAACGTTGTGTAGCTTTAAAAATAGGTTGGATAAATACATGAGTAGATGTGGGTGGGTGTGAGTTAGACCTGATAGCTTGTGCTAACAGGTCGGTTGCCGTGTTCCTCCCTTAAGTCAATGTGACCTGACCTGTCTAGGTTGGGTGCATTGGCTTAAGCCGGTAGGAGACTTGGACCTGCCTCGCATGGGCCAGTAGGCCTTCTGCAGTGTTCCTTCGTTCTTATGTTCTTATGTTCTTATGTCCCCTGCTGAAGAACTGGGACAGGAAATTTGCGGGACCTCAAGAATTACGTGTGGATGGCAGAAAGTAAAGGATGCAGACATCACTCACAGGGAAGTACACCATTAGTCCTTGCATTTAGATCTCAGCTGGCCAGTGTAGGGTCTAGGTGTTAGGCAGGTGTTGTGGGGTGATCTATCTATAGTAATTAAATGGTAAGTGAAAATAAAAAGTTCTTTTCTAATAACACTACTGTATTATATGTACTGCATTAATAGTTACATTTTTTGTGCACCCAGCAAGTAAACCAAAATAACACAGTCCACAATTTTAATTTTACCAGAATAGCTGGTTTTAACTTTATAATTATTTAATTTAATGTCGGGGCTAGCTTTTTGTGAGTGGGGTGAAGTGGGCAATCGAAGGATTTGCAGTTTAGCGAGCTACTGTGACTAAGTCCCACTTACCTCACCCAAATTATTTGCAGGTAATAATTCAGGTGATGCCCTGTAAGCCTCCTGCAGGTGATTTGCTCACATAATACTAATAATAATTTTCACAGTTCTCTTACACATTCGCATCCCCAAGATACAACTAACATCCGGTTTACCTATTTTTACTACTAGGTTCAATAGGGAAGCAGTGACGTAAGGAAACCTGCCGGCAAGTTTTGTAAGCCCTAGAATTGAATTCGTGACCTACCGGTTGGGAGCTGACCACAGAAGAGGTTAGACAGCCTTCGTAAGGTCAAAGACGAGTAAAACATTTTCTCGTTCTATTTTCTAGGCGGGATGACAACTGGCCTCATAGTATAAAACCAGGAGGTATAACCCAAGAAAGCCAAGAACTGTGGCTTAGTTCCGTTGAGTTCCATATGAAATTCCCTGGCTGTTGTGTCAAACATTTGAAGTACTCGTGTGCAAGAAACTCCAGAGCTGCTGAAAACATTGAAGTGCTGGACGAGGCAGCTACATACTGCAGTGCGACACAGGAATCCACACACTGCTGCAATGTATCAAGAGGTATCCACACATTGCTGCAGTGTAACTAACGCACAAGAACACAACACGGTCTGCCATTACCGCTCAGGAACACGTTATATATATTCACGGAGAAGCGTTGAACCTACTGGGGCCAAACATCGTCTAGGCCAGGGGTTCTTAGCCAGAGGTATGGAACTGTTTCTGAAGAATTTGCTTTTATATAAATGATAAAATACTTACAATTTTCTTTCAGCTGTTGTGTTGCTAGCTGTACATATGTAAAGTAAAACCAAGTTTTTGATATCTTTTAAAGTTATATTTGTACCTAGCAGGAATGATGGAGGTAGTTGTGGTGATTTAGACTGTCTGCCAAGGGTATAGGGGGGACACTGGGCAATCCACTGGGGTCTAGCTACAGTTCCAAAGATCGTGAGCCCAGCATTAGGAAAATGAGAGCCACACTTAATTTCAGGAAGTTACAGTTTAGTTTCATAAATTTCAATTACTGTAATTTATTTAGGATAAATAATGTAATATTTCAATGCAAGTGTCGAAGGGATCTATTGTTGCATAACACTACCAAGATTATATAGTGAATTACGACAATTAAATGACGTTTATAAATTTAGTGATGGGGTAGCGAGAGAGAGTCGAGGAGCGAGGAGGAATGATGGAATAAGAGGGACGGGGGTCATCCCTCAGGAACATCTATTCAATCATGCAGCATAAACTCTGCCGCATAATTGTCTGGTACACCACACTAGTGACCCCGCGGCGGGTAGTACACTACACTACAGTGACCCACGACGGGTACTGTGTATCATAGGTGCAACACTACGCAGTGACTAGTACTGTTTATCATAGGTACACCATACCAGTGACTCACGTCGAACAAGCAGGTTCTATAGGTAGTAATGTTTTTGTGGGTAAGAAAGTGGCAGCAGAAGATATAACAAAGCAGCATGTATACTAGAGTGTAGCACATTCACCCCCCACACCTGGAAGCTGCAGTTTCCTAAGCTTCCTTTCCAGCTTATATTCTCATGCTTCACGTAGCATCATGCACTGCATCATAAGCTTTAGCGAACGACGCGTGGTTAGTTTTGACTTAAGCTACACCCAATTCTCCTTTCGGAAAGCTTGTTATTAATGGGCTACAGGCTATTTTTGATTTGCCTCTCATAATAGTGTTTTATACATAAGAAAATTATTGCATGTGCATCTTAGTTCCTCCGTTCTGAGCGGCAGGATACAAACAACATACTCTACAATGGGAGTAACCTACATGTACTGGGATGACTCAATAGGTAGTTGTTTCTCAACAAATGCTGGGCTACTAGGGAGAACGACGGCACCGAAAATCTGTACAATACTGGAAAACTACACGAGAAATTTACATTCCAGGAACACCATGCAAGATTACACACGCCACACACTGACACTGAAGGTCATTGTTACCCTTGTGAGGAAAATTGTTGCCGCTGCTGGATGTGTCGTGGCTACAAGGTCCACTCTTGGTGTCAGTCTTGTTCAAGATGATTTTTGGAAAGCTGTGCTTGCTGCTGCTATCCGCAGACCTTTCTCTCGATTGAGTGCTTGATAATTTAGTTCCCGCTGATGGTTGTCTGGAAGAGGGTTTTCTTACAGAGCCTGAAGCTTTCTTAAATTGGTCTTCTGATAATCGGCTTGGGAGAGTATCTTCTTCCCTTTTCAATATAATTTGTGTTGTGTTATGTCTGTCATTAAATTTGCTAGTACGATAACTTCGTTCTTGAGTGTCCTTACGTGTACTACTTCCTTTGGATACACGGCTGGTGTTGCCGTATAGTTTATCGTGAGGGTATGCTCCTTCGCTAGGGAGGACACTTTGATGATTGCGTCCAGGGGTTTGGCGTCTAGCCCAGTGAGACGTCAAACCCCGGTATGAGGAACCTACAAACGGGTCCCTGCTGAAGGACGAACTTTTGGCTATTTGGTCATTAACGCGGCTACTCAATGTAGAAAATGAGGAAGAGGTTGTAGTGACTAACACTGCTGTCTCTGTCTTATCTGTTGGGCTGGAGGTTTTGTCTGGTCTACGGGGTCCTCGATTGCTAACATCGGCTCTTCTAGACTTTGAAACAGAAGGAGAGTTCCGTACAGTGCCGCTACTTCTTGATGCGTCTGTCCTACTTGAAAGAGAACGGTCTCTTAAAGGAATTCTCAGGGAAAGAGAAGTACTTACTCTGGCGAGATTGGCAACACGAGGCTGTGTGCTCAGCTTTGGGGTACTGCCCATACTCGAAGATTGGTGGAGTCTCATAAGGCTGTCAGCAGGTTGGGACACCTTTAACTTCCTGACGCTACCCCGATTTGATTCTGGTAACCTAGATAAACTTCGACATACAGAACTACCATCCCGTCTCAGGCTGTAGGGTTTACTAGATACTGTGCTGCTGGGCTTCTCTAGAGTCTGGCGTTTGATCATGCTGGAGGTAGCACTTCGGGATCCCAGTCCGCGCTTCATAACGATGCTCATTCGTTGGCTGGAGCTTTTACCTCTGGTGGAGGCCCTGCCGGAGGCATCAGAATTTACAGGCATTTTAACTGAAGGAGTTTTGGGGCTGACGGAGTATTCAACGGAGGAATTAGAGCTCTCAAGTTGTCTGATGGGATGAGTGGTAATGCTGGAGTCACTGACAGTGGTAGTAGAGCTATGTTTGGTGGGTAGAATGTCGAGGTGAGGGACACTGTGATGTGCCGCGCTGGTCTTTGGAGCCTCCCTACCAGGGTCGTGCAGGGCGCGGCCACGGGCGGAGGTTGCCAGGTTGGTGTTACTGCTGCAGGAGCAACTTTATAAGAATATAAAAAACTTCACTCTGCAGACCTGTCAATAGAGAATCTCATTATATTTCATTGTATGTTTTATTGTAGACCTATTTGCCCACGAGGGATAGGCATTTCCTACACCTATTTTGCTTTGAATTTATCCAGCCTATTTTATAAGCCCCCCCCCCCACAAGCATTAACTGCAACACACTGCTTGACAATTTGCAACCAGCCGACTGCATTGATATTTAAAAAATAAGATTAAAAATTAAACAAAGGCATGTAACACTACGTGTCCAGGAATCAGGTAAACACAGTAACCAGAATTTATGAGTTTTCTTTTTCACATTAAACGTGTTATCGCTATTGTTTTCGACCCAATTTTTTACTCATTCTAAGATTGTTTACGCAATGAAAATTGGAGTGTTGGAATATGGGTTTACAAGAATCAGTGTAGTACATAGTCGTCTGTAATGTCAAATGTAGCCTATAATTTAGCATGCTATACAATGTGGAAATACACAAATGCAGTACAATGAAATCTTATATTGGTAATGTTTAGCTCACACAGTAAGTTTTTCAAGTCACATGATGAAGGCCATTGCATGTGTGGAAATTATTTAATTTCCGAAGCTATAGTGCCTCATAAGTGTTTAATGTGTTGATTTGGGTCGAAATGTATTTGTATTTTGAATGGAACCAACTGGGTTCCCGCTGGGCATGCGCAGATGTGCGGGGGTATAGGTCGAACTGGGGCACGAGAGGCGGGAGGTTTTTGAAGGTAGCGAGGAGGCTGGGAAAGCATGGAACCAGGAAACTGGCGTCTCTCTAATGTGTATAATAATTATGAGACATTAAATTGTCTTGTAAATTGCAATGTAATTAATGATAATAACGCTAAGTTAAGAGAATGCGTGAAGAGAAATAAGTCGCCTTGCTCCGAGTGAACACGCTAGACCACGTTGTTCCCGCCACGAGGAAAGTGAAGTTCATGGAATCACGACTTCTAAACCGGGACAAACCAACGGATACCTCGTCCTGCTGGAATAAGAACCGTGTCGGTGTAGCAGGATATCGAAAAGAGATGGTGAATGGAGGAAATAAGGAGCATCAATCACCCACAGTTAAGTAACCTTTCTAGTTATAGCAGACTGATACTGGCCAGTTAGGTATATTTTAATTGGATAGGTTATGGGTGATCCAGCCACATCAAGTAACCACCAGAGAATATCTGGCAAGTGGTGGGATTATGTACAAGTGTTTTTTCCTTGATGGGTATATCCATGTGTAACCTACCCCCCCCCCTTCATTCAGTTAAACTAATATAATCTATACAGTCCACAATTAATTAGTAGCGCCGTACTTGAGGGTGCTACCCAATTTATACTGGTCTCGGATAGATATGGATAAGATTGTGGCCCGGTGGCCTGGTGGCTAAAGCTCCCGCTTCACACACGGAGGGCCCGGGTTCGATTCCCGGCGGGTGGAAACATTTCGACACGTTTCCTTACACCTGTTGTCCTGTTCACCTAGCAGCAAATAGGTACCTGGGTGTTAGTCGACTAGTGTGGGTCGCATCCTGGGGGACAAGATTAAGGACCCCAATGGAAATAAGTTAGACAGTCCTCGATGACGCACTGACTTTCTTGGATTATCCTGGGTGGCTAACCCTCCGGGGTTAAAAATCCGTACGAAATCTTATCTTATCTTATTGTGAGGGTCGAGGGGCCACCTGCAGTGACCAGTGGTGGTTAAGTTTTCTCACATGTCTACATGGGTGACTATGGTAAACAATATCGTTGTTGTCTCCCAAGGAGATTACTCATATGCATGTAATGTTGAGGTATGTACAAGTAATCACTCCTATAAAATTTTCCATAGCGTGGGCGAAACGTTGTCAATAAAGGATCGCATTATACTTCACAAAAGAAGACACTGATGTCCACTGCAGGCGTGGGTGAAGGTATGTGGGTGAGGGCAAATAAGTCCTCTACCCAGAAAGTGGTAGGGGTGTGGGCGGCACACACGACACTCCCAGCATGGCACAGGATCTCATGGTGTGGGTTTTGTCCACGAGTCACCCACAGTGTGAACAGCGCGTGCAATGAGAGTGCTGTGACTGAAGTCATTACAACTGTTCACTTTCTAGCGCTAGCGTACAAAATTTTCCATTATAATGACTACACTATCACAACCAATTTTTAACTTTAAGCACTGCTACGTTCAGCACCAGTTTGGGGTTATGACAAATTAACGGTGGCATTACAATAATAAGACCAGCTTAGTGTCAAACCGACTCTTCAGTACCAGGAAATACTGGAGACGAATCTCTCCACTACCTATGAAGAAATACTGGCGACTGGATTTTTTATTAGGCAATCAGGGCGCTTAAACCTCACACCCGTGATAAGGTGACTGCCTAGGGTTGTGTGGAAGGTTCACGCTTCCTGCTCTACAATAAGATGACCAAGCGTCAGGTGGGCGACACTAACACTGCCACCACACGGAGTCAAGGACGGTTTACAGAGCGCTATTACCGAAAGAGACTTCAACGGTGTGTACAGTTAATAGTAGTAGTAGCAGCAGCACTGATATTTATAAAGCATTTAATTAGAGCACACTACATATGCATCAATTAGAACAATAGTTATAAGTCTGTATAACTAACATTCATAAAAGATTAAAACACTGCTACCCCACTAGTGCGTTTATTAATCATTTACGTAATAAGCTATTCTTAAAGTATCCCCGAGGTCTCGACATACCTCTCGGTGGTTACAAAAACTGTGCCCAGGGCAGGAAATTGTAGCCAAGGATGTATTATTAAGATGTGTTACCATGACACCATAACTCTCACATAGCACCACCTGATTATGAGCTAAACGAGTATGCTCAAGTCTCATTCCATAGAAAGTAATGGGTGTGTGGGGGGCTTGGTGGGTGTCGTGACTACCTATGGTGAGGAGGGCGAACAAGTGTGGGAAGAGACGGGTAAGGAGTGTTGCACGCCAGCTTGCTTGCTTGCTTGCTCGCTCGCTCAGATAGAGCCCTGCACCTTCATTAATCACCAACTGTGATGCCTTCCTAACACTCTGGCTTGTCATATTTTCCCTGTGGCTCGCTATCAGTTCCTCCTTGAGTGCGTAGAGCTCATCCTCTCGGCCTCATCTCTGGCTCTCCTCTTATTGCCTGTACATTGAAAATCCTCCGAACACTAACAGTATATAAATTATTTTCATAGGGAAACACTAAATTCTTATTTATTATACAGCCCCTGGGAATAAGAGAATATCAATTTGATCCATGGAAGAAGAGAACAAGTCCAATTTCATAGATCGATAGTCTTAGGTAAACGTGTAGGACTCCACCCCACCACTCACATTCTTGAAGGGAGTGTCTACGAGGACCTGAGCATGTTAGTTAATGCAGTTGTAAACATATCGAGTACACGAGGCCCATTAAGACTGAATTAAACGAGTCAAGAATACTTTAATCCTTTAAAAAGGGATTAAAGTAAACGAGAGTCATACGCCTCTGTATATACACCTTTGCCTGAGGGGCCAAACTAGTGCAGACTGAAGCTAGTATATGTACTTGCAGCTCATCTCTTAAGATGTTAGGCTCAACAATACAATGGCCACCTCATTGGGTAAACAGTTTTTCTTTGTATATTACAAAGCTGAGCTAATTAGTAGATAAGTCTCGTAATATAGTAAACTTAACTGGTGAAAAAAAAGTAGATACAATCTTATCGTTAACATGATGCGATGTGCCACATCCTGTAGGGTGTGTTTGGACCCATCATGATATAGTGCTTACAATAAGTGTAAGGAGATCAAAGTCAGATTTATGAGATCCGAATGATGAGTTCTGCTATACCTGACGGCTGACTGATTCTCATTAATAACTCAGGTAGTCAGACATCTGAGATCTGTGGTCGGGGCCAACCAAATTAGGGTATATATAATTTAAACCAATTAGTGCATTAGGTACAATGAGCAAAGCGGCAATGGCACTTTCAGCTGAAGTCTCTCCATCCCGACTGGCATCCGTCACTGTTTCAAGTCAGTTAATTGTGAAAGAGGATGTTGCTTATAATTTAGTTGCCACACCCGGACTCCCACTTGGAAGCAATTGACATTTCTCTCATTTTCTCAGTTCTCTAGTTTTTCCTTGTGCGGTAGATACTGCCTGTTTGGCAGCACAAATCACTCACCATTCAGTCTTGACATTAACAATATCTGTTAGTAGTTCTGGGGATTATTTTTCCCACGGCCCAGTCTCAGACCAGGCCTCCTAGTTAGAAAGGAAATATTACACGAATAAGAACTATTAAGAATCACAGGGTAAAGTCAAGGCATGTGTACACCTTAGGTACAGACTGAACTTTTACCTGTCATCTTACATATTCTTGTGACAACAGATCAGCAATCCCGCCAAAGTGCAAAAAAATTAACAGGTTTCCATTTCTCTCATTGGACAGGATGGTAGTACTTCTCTGGACGGTTGCTGTCAACCATCCTACTAGCTATTCGTGATAGTATCTATGAAAATAACATTTGTGTACAAGTAGTTGGTAAACATTACCTCTGAGGATGCCTAGGAACAACGAGTTCTGTGGGATTTCTCCCGCCAATGTTTGCAAAAGTAGGAGGCAGAGGTTTTCGCCACGTAGTCTAAATTCTCTCCAACCTGTGAATTATTTTGTGAATTGTGCCGTTACATAACGAGCTCATATAATACTATTCATAATTTTAGGAAACCTTTATGAGAAATTAAGTGAAATTAAGCAACATTAATTTTACTTATGCCTCTAATTTACTAAAACTATTTTGAGAGTTTCAGTAGCAGACTAAGAATTCAGTACGCTTCGTTTTAGGTATGTCGCCCCTTTGGTTGATGGGCCTATATAGGCCGTGTGTGGTCGATCAACCTGCCTGCTTCACTTGAGTTTGAGATCAGCGTAGCAACAATGTGAGTCAGTGTACACTGAGTCATCGTCTACACTGCTGACCTAACTGTGGTCGAGTCTGGGCAGTATGCCGGGTATTGTCTTCCCAATATTTCTCAAAACTGAACACAGTAATGTTACCACGGAGGTGGGAGCCTGGAGAGGGACACAAGACATGTGATGTTTGTTGTCAACACATTCTTCTCAGTTATAAACGTAGGTTAATCTTTTAATAAAATTAAATATGAAGACCTGGAGGCATTATGAAGAGATTCATCAGTGAATTAGAAACTAAAAACCGACACTATAAGGAACGCTCTGGGAAGACTTGCCTCGAAGGGTGTTTACTGGGCAGCGCCACTAATGTTGCTTTTACACAAGTCAAGTCAAGTTGACTCGACTCAACTCAACTTTTAATGTGAACAGTTTCTCAGTAATTACATACAAAATAATGTACCCTTGCATGGTCGAGTCAGTTTTGAGTAGTATGGTGTGAAAGCAGCTTTATCTGCAAATAACTATACCACCATAAAGAATACAAGAGTTAAGAGCCATTAGCGATACTACTGATATAACAAATAAAACAGCAATATTTTTTTGTGAGCCTAGAGTATGCATGCAGTGGTAGGCCACATATGGAGGGCTGGATAGGTCAACAAGGGCACTGAAGTACGCTAGTGTGGTGATGGGCGCTACTAAGGGAACTGTTCCATTTCAGGTTCAACAGCTAAGATAAATTTTGATTTAGAAGTTACATAGAAAAACACTGGTTTCACAACCGTATTGTGGATGGGTGAAAAAAACGTTCAAGTTGCGCCACTGAAACAAACACTTGCGTAGGTTAAGCTTAAGTCAGAGTCAACCAGCACTTGACAACACTTCACGACACACTAACGTTGTTTCCACATTGTGCTTTCAGTATGAATTAGACATGAGTGGGCACACGAAAGTATACAATTGGTATACGTCTACAATAAAGATACCCAGATGTTGCACATGTGTCTTAATTTCATCAATTGGTATACAGTACCGACAAGTTGAGTAAGATACATGTGCAACTCCTGGGTATACTATTTACTGACGTAAAGTCGCAAAGTGACCCCTTACAAGACTGACAGTGTCATCACCTCAAAATTACCTCTCCACTTCTAATGTCTCCAGCGCCATAATCGAATGTATTCGATTTAAGAAGCCTAATGCGCAGGCGAAACGTTTCTACAATCACATACCCAAGTGTTGCACACGTCTTATAAACCAGCATGGGCTAGCAGTCTACTGCAACGTAGGGAATTATAGTGTTTACTGCAGTTAAATATTAAGCCGAGTTCTTGCCTTAACTATTGCAACAGCTCTTGTACAAATGATCGGCATTGTTTGTGTTCCAGTTTATGAAGTAACAAGTAATATAAAGTCTTTCGAGTATCATATATTTTAAACAACACACACTAATATAGTATGATAATTATTAAAAGATGAAGTTTCATGGATACAAAGGATAAAGCTTAGTGTCCCAGCTAGGTCGACACCACCTGTACCCACCTAGGTCGATACCATCTGTACCTCGCCAATGTGTGAATGAAAGGATATTTCATGGTAAGATACACCTGTGTACCAACGTCAACAAAACCTCACACAGTCTTCCTCACCTTCCTACATATACGTTGAAATAAGTGACGAGAGTATTCACTGCACATGACACACCTTGGTCTCATTTGTCATTTGTGATGGAGGTATTTTTTTTTCACTGTCTACGATCACTGTCGACCACGAAACCTGACACATGACCACACTCACCACAAGCGTGCACTGCCGCTATATACAACACCTTAAATGTGCTTCACTTGCTGCACTATCAGAGAAAGATATCTTCTGTATCCCCTAAACTAAGTTCCCTTCCCTCTACCTCAATTCATGCAAATGTGATATTACATAATGTGCATAATTTTCCAATGCAGCTAAATATCAGCGTTGAAAATTTTAAGTCGATCATCGGAGGCATTCACAAAGTGGAAAATCCTAGAGGGACTAGTCCCAAATCTGCACATGTTAAAATAGTTTCGCCACGAAGCTGTGCAATTCTTATCTAAACTATTTCTTTGTCTATCATGATACGATATAATTATGCTGTTTCCCTGATACAATGTTGTCCGCGACCTCATCTCGTATACAGGTATTAAGTTGTAGGCTGTCAGGACCATTAAGGCAGTAGTGTGAGAATAAGAGTTGTGGGAGGCACAGGGCAAGCAATTTGTGTGGCACTACTATAAATTTCATTGTCCTCTACATACATACATGTGTTGTTATATAACGTCACCTTTTGTCTTTGTTGTCCCTGCGGATAATATAAACTTTTCTGGGAAACAGACTGCCTAGGACCTATCAGTGGATTAAAATATGCGCATATTATATACTGTACATCAAGTAACTTCTTCAGCACATTACACTTCGTCCACAAGCTAAGCTTAAAGCCTATCGTCTGCAAGTGGGTCATTAACGCCATAAATCACCTGTACACTAGTGATCATGTCTGTTTTATGTCATACTATATAATTCAGGTCAATACTGAACTTGTGTATGCATCTCATTCTGCAGTTCTAGAGTGCTCATAATTAATTAAAACTAGTATACTGTATTTAATTACTTAGTTAAAAAAATAACCTATTAAGACCTACTCAAATAAGGTATCGTCAGTTTAAAAATTTACCAATATCTATTAAGCCATGCGTCTATCATTTCAAGCATATAGTTACCAACTAAATCATAGGCTCACTAGCATCAAATAATCTAAGCAGGCTTAGCCACCTTAAAAACAAACCTAGTGACCACACACCGAAACTTATTCATTATATCCTGCCGCGTAAATCTGGTCTTGTCTATGTCACTTGGGACGACCTCGTATTTCTTGTTTGTCACGTGGCTGGTCATCATCTTGCTGCCCTTCACACGCACACAGTTTGATGGAATAGTTGATCGTGATAAATAATACACACATTATCTCCTCATTAGTACTTGTGTGTAGATAAGTGCTTGGATCGTATATAACACTGTCTACTGGGTCCAACAGCCCTAAATTTATATTTTGATTACCATTTCTAGTAACATTCTAGACAATACTTTTCTTGCGTTCATTTGATGCTGACTAACTAGCACGGATGTATGAATCACCGAGCACATTTAAGAGGATAAATTTCAAGCTTCATAACATTATTCACTGGACTAGACACTTTATAACGTGACTTGAATATTATGGTAACTGGTGACTATAATCCCGAGTAGCAGTAAAAACAGCAGGAGCAACGAGTGTGGTTATTTTGTGTGTACACTGTCAGGTGAAGACCAATACTAACCTGACTCCAGTCATCTAGCCTGGTCTTGCCCTCTCAACTCCACTAACCTTCGCTCACTCATTCAATTCACTAACTTACGGATATTAAAAATATTTTTTACACAACTTTTAATTATGTTTCATCTAAATTATAAGTTTCTCAAACTTCATCTTTTATATAACCGAAAAAAAGACAAAAATACGCAACAAATCGTTGAAATAAAACTATTTTACTTCTTATATATTAGAAGATATACCAGCTTGATAATATTAACGTATTACATCAGGTATATCTCAACTTGAATTTACCAACAAAAATATATGGATAATTTTCTCCAAGATACTCAGACGAACGAAAAATAATGAAACGAACACTAAGAAAGGGAAAGTTAGTTGCCAAAGAAGGAATATTTGTGATGTTCATCTCTTATCGCACGCAACCCGCCACAACCACACCCACACACACACACACACACACACACACACACACACACACACACACACACACACACAAAATAAGATTATTGTTAAATGTCTTGGAAATTTTCAAAAATGTTTTTAGGTCTTCCTAGACGAGGTGACGATAATGCGTAGTGAAGCAAGTGATAGAAGATATTGTACACACTGTTAGTACATGATTAATGCACATCACTCCATGCATGCTCGACATTGCTAAGTTGCTGCACATCGTAATAACTTGTATCACTGTGTGCACCTGCAACGTGGTGTTCTTAGGACACCAGCGTCAGTAGCACCTGCAACGTGGTGTTGTTAGGACACCAGTGTCAGTAGCACCTGCAACGTGGTGTTGTTAGGACACCAGCGTCAGTAGCACCTGCAACGTGGTGTTGTTAGGACACCAGTGTCAGTAGCACCTGCAACGTGGTGTTGTTAGGACACCAGCGTCAGTAGCACCTGCAACGTGGTGGTGTTAGGACACCAGCGTCAGTAGCACCTGCAACGTGTTGTTGTTAGGACACCAGCGTCAGTAGCACCTGCAACGTGGTGTTGTTAGGACACCAGTGTCAGTAGCACCTGCAACGTGGTGTTGTTAGGACACCAGCGTCAGTAGCACCTGCAACGTGGTGTTGTTAGGACACCAGTGTCAGTAGCACCTGCAACGTGGTGTTGTTAGGACACCAGTGTCAGTAGCACCTGCAACATGGTGTTGCTAGTCTTCTAAGACTACACAGTATCTTTGCATGTTTCCTGCCACGATCTTCTTCTCGCGCTAACATAATTCCTTACTCTCGATCGATAGAATATAATTAACAATAAATAAGAAAGACTAACATAACACTCAGTCCGCTACATTACACACTCGCTTATTAAATACTTTCATCATTTTATACAGTAACTGAAGTAACATCCAAAGAGATAAATTTCAACTATCTTATCACCACTTGTCAATTTAAGGGATAAAGCACAAGGATGAACATAAGCTTCTTTCTAATGCCTCCAGACAGTGGAAGTGGAGCAGTAATGGTTATTTTGAAGAGTTAATTATCACAGCATCATACAAATGAATTATTCTTGGCTCGAAAGCTGAATTACAGCAAAGCTATTTTTATATTTAAAAAAAAAAAGATAATATAATACACACACACACACAACACACCACACACACACACACACACACCCAGTAGGATACCCAAGTGTTAAAATTTTGAAGCCTATCAGATAAGGTTCTCGTGTTATCACAGAGAAACGAAGATTGAGAATCGTCCATAAATTTGACCAGAGGGCACTTGTATATGTCAGAAGGCACTTGTATATGTCAGAAGGCACTTGTATATGTCAGAAGGCACTTGTATATCGGCACTTGTAATGCCCGAGGCACTTGTATATGCCAGAAGGCACTTGTATATGGCCTGCAGAAGGCACTTGTATATGCCAGAAGGCACTTGTATATGCCAGAAGGCACTTGTATATGCCTGAAGGCACTTGTATATGCCTGAAGGCACTTGTATATGCCTGAAGGCACTTGTATATGCCTGAAGGCACTTGTATATGCCTGAAGGTGCACGAAACCTTCCATAATTACATTATACTAGCGTTGAAAACTTGAAAGTCGATCGGAACAGGCGTTCTCAGTTATAAACGAAAATCTATAAGGAAAATCTGTTGGGAAAAATATACACACCGATTAGTGTGGATTACTTAAATCAACTGTTTTATGAACTACAGTATTCTTGATGGTGGAGCAGAGGTGACATGCAGCTTAACGATACTAGAGTAGTCAATATGATTCAAACTATAAACCAGCTACCTAGCAATAAACAGGTGCCTATAAATTAATTGTTGGTCGCATTCTGTGGAAAGATCAGTGGAAATAAACTACAGCGGTACTACTATTTGATTCAACAACAACAAACCTGGAGTGTACTAGGATGGGGAATGTACCAGGAGGTAGGAGTGTACTAGGATGGGGAAGTGTACCAGGAAGCAGGAGTGTACCAGGAGGGGGAAGTGTACCAGGAAGCAGGAGTGTACCAGGAGGGGGAAGTGTACCAGGAGCAGGTGTACCAGGGGAAGTGTACCAGGGAGCGGAGTGTACCAGGAGGGGAAGTGTACCAGGAGGGGGAGTGTACCAGGAGGGGGAAGTGTACCAGGAGGGGGGGAGTGTACCAGGAGGAGGAAGTGTACCAGGAGGGGAAGTGTACCAGGAGGGGAAGTGTACCAGGAGGGGAAATGTACCAAAGGCAGGAGTGTACCAGAAGCAGGAGTGTACCAGAGGGGAAGTGCATAAAAGGCAGAGTGTACCAGGAGGGGGAAGTGTACCAGGAAGCAGGAGTGTACCAGGAGGGGAAAGTGTACTAGGAGGCAGGAGTGTACCAGGAGG